TTACAGGCAATTGAATGAAAAAATACACATAAAATATTTATGCATGATATTAATTCCAGTAACTATAGATTAAAAAATATAAACTAATCCTTGAAAAAATTTAAATTTCTACTTTTAAATCAAGTTATTAGTTATTTTAAATTCTTCTTATTCTTTTTTTGAGACAGGGTCTTGCTCTGTTATCCAGGCTGGAATACGGCGGCATAATCATGGATCACTGCAGTCTCAGCCTGTCAGGCTCAAGCAATTCTCCCACCTCAGTCTCCTGAGGAGCTGGGACTACATGCACATGCCACCACGCCTAGCTTATTATTTTTTCTTTGTAAGGATGGGGGTATCACTATGTTGCCCAGGCTGGTCTTGAACCCCTGGGCTCGAGTGATCCTCCTGCCTCAGCTTCCTGAAGTGTCAGGATCACAGATGTGAGCCACCTCATCCAGCCAGTACTTTCTTTTTAGAAAAACAGAAAAAGATGTTAAATATTATATCCCCATTTCTTATAGAAATCACCACTGTAGAGTTACAGCAAATAATGTCTAGTGTGATTTCTGTGTCTGAATAGGCTAAAGTAAAAAAAAATTAAAGATGTTTTAATGCCTAAGCAAAGCTTCAGAGACTATGAATGAAACAAAGATTTTATGCCTCTGCAAAGTACCTAAGTGCCTGAGAGAATACACATTTTGATTTGTGGCAGCATGGCCCCACTGGGTGTCAGAAGGTCTGTACCGGAAAGAATGTATGGAACCAGGATACGTTCAGTTGAACCTCTGCCCTGACCTTACCTTTAGACCATGTAACAAGCACCCAGGATACCCAGATTTTCTGTACAACTACCCTAGATTTTGTGAGCACTCTTAGGCCTATTAGGTGGAAGCACTGATTAAGGATCAAAGGCCTCCAAGTATAAGGTGGAGCCAAAAAGTGGCAAAAGGAGGGTGGCAGGCAGGGATGCTCTCTCCTTATGCTGCCATATTCCAGCTTAGAACTCAAAGTAGTTTGAAAATTCTAAATTTAAATCTGGCCTCTCATGTTGTTGTGAGTGTATTTTGGTCAAATTTCACTTAATGATTTGTTAGTTTTATTTATAACTTGTAAGTATTTCAACAAATAGTATTAACAGTCACCACTTCTACTCCAAACTGTAAATATCACGATGGACCTTGTTTTGGCTGCACTATTGAATAATGAAATATTTACCAATAGTCCCTAAATAAATCACAACAGCTATTAGTTTGTCACACTGAGATAGGCCTTTTTCTGTGCCCAATTTTTCCTGAAATCATATTCTCTCTTATGGACACTTGAAAAGATTGTCACATTACATAAAATACAAAAAAGTACAATTGTGGTTCATGCCTGTAATCCCAACACTTTGGGAGGCTGAGGTGGGTGGATCACTTGAGGTCAGGAGTTTGAGACCAGCCTGGCCAACATGGTGAAACTGTCTCTACTAAAAATACAAAAATTAGCCAGGCATGGTGGTGAGCGCCTGTAATACCAGCTACTTGG